TGGCTCGTGCTGTGCCAGGTGCAGGGTCTGTTGGCTGGGTGCTGGCAGGCTTGCAACGGGCACAAGCACTGTAGCCAGACCATGCCCTTTGAAGGGCTCCAGGGCCGGGAGAGGGGCAGAAGAGTTTCCCTGGTTTGGCCCAGAGTGGCCACCAAGGCAAGCTGGGAAGGGCTAGCCTCCAACTAATTCGAATTAAGTGGCTACACAGCCCTTAATTCGAACTACTTAATTCGAACTAGGCATTAGTCCTCATAGAATGAGGTTTACCTAGTTCGAATTAAGCGCTCCTCTAGTTCGAATTTAATTTGAACTAGCAGTTTGCATGTATAGCCACTATTAAAGTTAATTCAAACTAACGGCTGTTAGTTCAAATTAACTTTGTAGTGTAGACATACCCTTTAACTGCTTCTTTCTGGCCTCTCAGAGGGAATGGGAATGGACTGTGAGGAATTGAGGCCATGGGTTCTCATCTGCCATGAAAAGAAGATGTGATTGGTTACAACATAGGGAGTAAGTTGCATAAACACAAAGAATGGCTCCTGGTTTTTCTCCTGTAGGAGGACAGTTCCATAGTATCCCTTAAAGACTCAATCTATCCCTGGATAAAGACCTTAAGTTTTGGCTTTATATGCTTTTTGTTTGACCTTAAAGAATGTCACATATGCTTGTTTAGCTTTGCATTTAGTCCACTTGCCTTCAGTGGGACTATGGGCATTGTAAAGCTAACCATGTGCAGGAATCTTAGCAGAATTAGGGCTTTACTCTGCACCTAGCTATAGGCCAGCTGCATATTATGGAGTAGAATGTTGGGATTTTAACACCTGCATTTGCCATCTAGAAAACATGGTTATTGATGCCTTGTAAATGTGTTACCAATATATAGTGAATAATTGAAAGTGGGAGGTTGTAATAAATTATCTGGTAACAGTAGGAATCATCTGATATACTCTAGTTTCTAAGAGCTTCATAACAGTAAGTGATGACATAACCTTTTGAAGGTTTTAGAATACTGTATTCAATTGTACAGGATTTATATAATTGTAAATGCATTTGTAAATAATTTGATTATTACAGTATGCTGTACTGTTGGGCAAATGAATTTCAGGCTCTGCATTTTTTTTAGTTTGCTTTTTTCATACCAGAAGATTACCCGGCGTTGCCCGTGTCCAGCCTGGGACAGGATGGGGGATGCACTGGCTTACCACTGGTGCTCCCTGGGCCTAAACCAGGAACGGGGTGGGCTCTGCACAGGCTGGCCCCAGCAGCATTCCTCAGGCCCAGCTCTGGAGCTGGAATCGGGGCCATGCTAGCCCAACATGGGGGAAAGGGAGGGGAGACATGCAAGCTGGCCAGGCACAGCTATGCTACATGACTTATCAGTGCTGGGGGCAGGATGTGGCTCCTGGAGGAGGGATGGGGCTGCACTCTCCAGCCCTGATCGTGTTCCGGGGCAGAGGTTGTGGAGGTGGGGCTGACAGGCCTTCCCCACCTTGTCTGGCGCTGGGGCTGAGGGCCAAGAGGGAGGGTTTGGGGGCAGAGAAGCCACTTACCTGGGCCAGTGACCAGCAAGATGGCAAGCCCCATTCTCAGTCGGCCACTCCCTTTGTGGTGCAGCTGCCCTCAGTGGTTACCCTGCATTATAGCTGTCCCCCACACTCATGGTGCAGTAATGCATCCCTCCAAACAGCCTTTCTATGTTTTGGAAAACAATCAAACTCCAGGCACATCCCATTTTCCTGGCACAACCAATCCCTGACCTTACTTTTAGTTAGGATAAGAGGAGGCTGCAGACCAATTTAGTAGTCCTAGCTGTTATTATTTAGGAGGATTTTTTGAACACACATCCTCACGGACAGACGGAGGATGCACAGATTCTCACACATCTCTGAAATATAGAGAAAGTTAGTTCACAGTCCTCATCAAATACAGAATAGTGATAGAGCTGCAATCGTGTTAGTCTGGTCTAGCTGAAACAAAAGACAGAACTATGTAGCACTTTAAAGACTAACAAGATGGTTTATTAGGTGATGAGCTTTCGTGGGCCAGACCCACTTCCTCAGATCAATATGTAGAAGAAAATTGTCACAACCATTTATACAAAAGTGATACAATCAAAAAAAATGAATGCATGTGAAATTGACAAATCAAATTTTAGAACAGAGTGTGGGTGAGGGGGGAAGGTTAGTGTCTGTGAAGTAATGACATAGAGGTGATAATAGGGGAAGTTTCTGTGAACTTCCCTCACAGAAACTTCTGTGAACTTCCTCACAGAAACTTCCCCTATTATCCCCCCTATGTCATTAACTCACAGACACTTTTTCGTAAAAGGGATGTAAATTAGACGTTTCGCAATTGCTAATGAAGCGGGGATTTAAATCTCCCCCGCTTCATTAGCATAAAAATGGCTGCCGCTTTTTTTCGGCACGGAGCTTTGCCGGAAAAAAGTGCCAGTCTAGACACTGATCTTGCGGAAAATAAAGCCTTTTCTGAAAGATCCCTTATCCCTTATTTCATAGAATATAGAATATGAAATAAGGGATAAGGGATCTTTCAGAAAAGGCTTTATTTTCCGCAAGATCAGCGTCTAGACTGGCACTTTTTTCCAGCAAAGCTCCGTGCCGAAAAAAAGCGGCAGCCATTTTTATGCTAATGAAGCGGGGGAGATTTAAATCCCCGCTTCATTAGCAATTGCGAAACGTCTAATTTACATCCCTTTTACGAAAAAGGGATGTAGTCTAGACATAGCCTAAGTGTTCCAGACAAGGGGCCATGGACCAGATGCCCAGACTTCCACTGAAATTAATAAGAATAAAATATTTTTGAGGATCTGGATCCATGTTCTCTACTTAGGCACTGGGAGAGTGCTGTGTGTGCATCTTTACAGATAATAATAATATAAAGAATGAAAAATGTATTGTATTATGTAATATTTTTTAAACATCAAGTGAGATCAGCATCCATTCAGATTCTTTTTCACAGCTTATGTGAATGTTAACAATCCCCTTTTATGCCCCATATTTCCTGCCCCTTTTTCTGAAGGCTGCTTATTCTCCTCTATGGGCAGGAACTACATTTTTGGAAGGAGAACCATCTTCTGCCAGTGGAAAGTGGCTTTTACGGGAATCAAGTCAGAGAAGTTTAACTTGGGAGGAGGGAACAGGTTAGACCAATAAAACAGGGGTTATTTCCCTCCTGTTTCATAGGCTTTATGATTCCAAAGAGGACAACTGAGATGATCTCAATCATTGAACTTTCCACACACTCAGCCAATTTGGTGCCTTGTTTCATATTAATGGTAGACCCTATCTTGCCCACTGCCCCACAGTCGTATAAGGGCAAGGAGGTCACATGACATTCCAAAGTGATAGGGAAGAAGCAGGGTTATTAATTAATTACTCTTGTCATTACTTATTGTTTTATCATGGCTGGAAGTCAAGGCCTCGTTATGCTAGACTCTGCACAACCATGCAGCCAAGAGACAATCCCTGTCCTGAAGAGATGTTCTGGATCCAGGCCCTCACATGTCAGCCAATGAACTTCGCCAAGAATTCAATCTTGTGTGCTGGTTGGACCGTTCCAGCTCTGGGAAGAGCTCTACTTTTGTTCTTGGAGGGAAAATTCTTGCTGGAATGCTAATAGAATTGATGGCATGCCCCCACATGGCCCTCAAAGACGACCTAATTGGCACAGTTGAGCACTGAATGCACTGAAGAGTGTAGAAGCATAAACACATGAAATATATGTTCTCTCCATGCAGTATGTTGTCTGATAGAAAAAATAAGCAGAAAACATGACTGCTAGTTGAGTCCACCACCTTGAATAATTTATACAAGCAGAACCCTGAACAAACATGTAAGTAGTAACATTGGGAACCACAAATTATTTCTCTTAAGTGTTGAACCAAAAGGAACACCATAATAAGACAAAATATAATGAAACAACCAAAAACCACCTGTCTACAAAAATAACATAGTGGAACACAAATGTTCTGGAATCCTTGCAACCTCAACAAATCAACAAAACAGAACAAAAAACGCTACGTCTCATTTCCCAACACTGATTAAAGCTCATAAGCAACCACACATAGTACTTCCACATTTTGTAGCTCCTAGCTCACTGTATTGAACCCAAGCTGCAACTGATCCTGCAGCTGCTACGTGCGCTGGAGTATTGCTTATCCATGATAGCAATCTCATCTAAGTCAATCGAACCACATATAGGAAATAGTGCCACTAAGGGTAAGCACTGAAAAACATGAAATGAGCACCCATGCCTGAACAAAAGATAAACAAATCCCTGTCTTAAAAGTATGAGTGAGAAGGAGGGAGAAAAATAGAGTGCATATACCTGGGGGAGATGTATTCTTGGCTACATTTACTGGGCTTCAATACTGGCAGAAGTGGCATACCATGGGTTGGATAACAGGCACTGCAGTAGCTAGACACTACTAGGCTGATTCTGTAATGCTTGTGCAAACTGGATTTAACATATGTAAGTAGTAGAGTGTTCCATCCACTTTCTAAATAACTATACCAAGTAATTACCAATGGAGCATCAGTCCTTGTGTCACTGAGTTGCCATAAGTGATGTGTTCCATATATACACTATAATATAGAACAGATTTATAGAAAATGATAAACTTTGGGATACTCTTAGGCTGTGTCTAGACTGCATCCCTTTTCCGTAAAAGGGATGCAAATTAGACACATCGCAATTGAAAATGAAGCAGGGATTTAAACCCCCCTCACTTCATTTGCATAAACATGGCTGCCGCTTTTTTCTGGCTTTTTTCTAGACGGGGATCTTTCGGAAAATAAAGCCTTTTCCGAAAGATCCCTTATTCTTCTTAAAAAAAGGAATAAGGGATCTTTCGGAAAAGGCTTTATTTTCCGAAAGATCCCCGTCTAGAAAAAAGCCAGAAAAAAGCGGCAGCCATGTTTATGCAAATGAAGTGAGGGGGGTTTAAATCCCTGCTTCATTTTCAATTGCGATGTGTCTAATTTGCATCCCTTTTACGGAAAAGGGATGCAGTCTAGACACAGCCTTAAAGAATGATTTTTTCTCATTAAATTCAGAAATCATATACCGTAACTTAGGGTGTGTCTAGACTACCTAGTTTTGTCGACAAAAGTGGACTTTTGTCGACAAAACAATACCAGCGTCTACACTACCGCGGAGTTCTGTCGACATAACGTCGACAGAACTCCGCGGTTTTGTCGACGCTGGTATACCTCATTTTACGAGGCAAAACACCTTCTGTCGACAGAGTTCTGTCGACAGAAGGTGTTATTGCCTGTAACGTTGCGTCCAGACTACGGAGTTCTGTCGACAAAGCGGCTTGCTTTGTCGACAGAACTCCATGTGTCTGGACGCAAATTGTCGACGGAAGTTTTGTCGACAGTATCTGTCGACAAAACTTCCGTCGACAAAACGCGGTAGTCTAGACGTACCCTTAGTGTTAAACAACAATGAAGATTAAATTACCCCCATGTGCACTGTGGGAGGGTTTTTGATGGATTTTTGAGTCTATGAGTTGATATCTTAGTATGAGTAATAATGACCCTGTTCAATAAAAAGTCTCAGACAGATATTCTAATGTCTAGGATACCAAATATCCAATCTGTTACTGTGAATTAACAATGGATGAGATTTTTTTTCCTCTGGGAAATATATTATTAACTTTTCAGTATCCACAAGGACTATTATTAGGAATATATTAGGAATATATTTCTTAAATTATCCTGTTCTCAATAAAACATACTCTAGTAATAATAGTAATTGAATAATAGTAATTACTAATATAAGGCTTAATCAGGCCTATGCAATTCTTGTCTGCTTTGGGGATGGGTATTTTTAGGCCTGCCTGAGCTCTAGCACCCAGTGCACCACGATGGCTGCATCATTTTACCCATACCCAATCAATATGAGAGAATATTAATTGTTTAACTCTTACTTAAATCTCCGGTTCTTAATATAAATGTCTGGCCAGAATATTGCAGCTCTATTTTTGTGTATGATTCCTGCTAGCATATTTCATAATTTTGGCAGTATGTACTACTCCTCAGAGTTCTGAGAGTACCTCCCCTTATCCTTTGGCTGATTGTCAACTGGAAGAAACCATTGTAAACATTTCTGTTATATCCTTATACATTTGTAAAGTAACAAGGGCTCAAATTTATGCCTGGTATAATGACACTGAAGTCTCTGTGATATTACACCAGTGATGAAGCAGTCCATATTATGCCTGATAAAACATGAAGCAAATAAAGCATCCATGTGAACAAAGGCACTGACAGCCTTGCCAGGCCCCTAAGTAAGGTGGAGGATCTGGCTCTGCCATCCCAGAAGGGGAGGAGCATCAGTTAGAAGGGGCATGGTTGAGGGCAGCCAGTCCTCAGTGTCACCTGGACAGTGGCACACCTATCCCCAGCTCTTATCGCTGCTGGAGTAAGCCAAATTTTGCTTTGGTGGCTATTTAAAGAGCCTAGGTCCTTTTGAATTGCCAGGCCCCGAAGCAGA